TCCTAATGTCTAATTCAGGAGGCACAGTGATAAACAAGAATTCACAAACTTTTTTCTTCTCTTTTAAAAAATGAAGTAGTTTTCATTTTTGGTATCACTGGAGGGGCATGGGGGAAATTCTGGCCACAAAATACAAGTACTGTTTGCGTGGTTTTTTAATATGTGTATGAATTAAAGTTAACATTAAAATTCCTTATCTGATTTTTCATAGAGAAGCCGAGAGTAGAGAGGGGAAGTAATAGGAATAAAGGTATAGCAAGTAAGACCTGTCAATCACTCAATTTACTGGGCTGAAATCTTGGTTTGGACCACAAGAAAATGTGGTAAAATACCTTAAAATAGTGTTTCTGTTTAAATATTATGTTTAAAAAAAATCAATTTAGCCTAAAAATACACTTTGAGTGAAACATATTTAATCATTCTCATATTACAAATGAGGAAATTAAGGTTCCAAGAATTGAAGAGATTTGTTCAAATAAGTAAATAAGTGATAGAATTGGAATTTGAACCCGTTTCTAAACATAAGTCAAGTGTCATTTCCTGTACACAACATAACTGCCTTCTTGTTGTTCTATCTCTGAGAGAAATTTAAACCCATGCCCACCACTTGTGACTTGTGCAGCAGGTAACTGTGGCAAGGCGTGGTCTGTGCTTTACAATGGACGTCAAATGGTCCAGCCAGACCCCAGGGCAATTGTTTATAAAATGACCCTGGGGGGGCCGGGCGCGGTGGCTCAAGCCTGTAATCCCAGCACTTTGGGAGGCTGAGGCGGGTGGATCACGAGGTCAAGAGATCGAGACCATCCTGGTTAACACGGTGAAACCCCGTCTCTACTAAAAATACAAAAACTTAGCTGGACATGGTGGCGCATGCCTGTAATCCCAGCTACTCAGGAGGCTGAGGCAGGAGAATTGCCTGAACGCAGGAGGCGGAGGTTGCGGTGAGCCGAGATCACGCCATTGCACTCCAGCCTGGGTGGCAAGAGCGAAACTCCGTCCCAAAAAAAAAAAAAAAAAAAAGACCCTGGGGGATTTTTGGTGCATTACATCATGCAAAGCCTCTCCTCATTAGCAATCATGCAAAAAGACACCAAACACCAGGTTTCTGACCCTTGGAACAGCTAAAGGAAATTGAAAAGTCAAGAAAGTTCTCTTGCTGGTAGACTACACACTGGGTACATTGTTGATACCACTATGATGTGATCTAAGCCAAAATTATCGAGCCCTTTGACCAGCTGTCTTCAAAGCTATATAGCCCTACCTATCAGGGGTCATTCTTCTTTGGCATACCACAGGGCCTGATGCCAACAACCAAACTGACCCTTTCCAATGTTGTGCAATTGAATTCCAAATAACTAGGCCCTACGTTCATCTTTGTTGTTGATCAAAACACTGAAAGAAAATGGCAAATTCCCTTGTTCATAAAAAGACTGGCTAGGGACACATAGGAAAGCCTTGTCATTTATTCGGGATTAGTTTTAAGAAGGCTTATAAATACAGAACAACAGAGGTGGCAGAAGGACAGTACTGAGAAGCAAGACACCCCCTTACATTTGCTGCTCCTTTCTTTTGGGCTGCATAGTGAAGAGATTAACATAGGCAATGTAAACAATTCAACAGCGTGCCAAAAGTGTCAGGAGTGATCATGAACAGTTAAGGTGTCCCTCATTATGGAGATCCGTAGCTTTCAGAATTTGTGTTTTCCTCACATATATGTAACATGTGACCAAGAGAACACCTAATTAATGATCTATTTGTATATTCTTCTTACTCAGGAGCATCTCTCTCGTCCGTATTTAGGAGGACATCGAACAGGGCAAAATTGGTAAACAAGTTCATTATCACTCCCGAAAGAAAGCATTCTGAAATCAAACTGCCTGGGTTCAAATACCAAATCCATTACTTACTAGTTGCAATTAATTGCTTTATTCTTTAGGGTAACAGTCTTCTCATCTATAACATGGAGATAACTTTAGTATTATTCAATGTGTATTTAATGTGAGTGTTAAATGTGATGCTGCAAAGAGTTGAGCCACCACAGTGCGTAAATGGTGGGTACTGTTACTACTGCAGGTGAAAGGTTTCATTCTCAGGAAATCTATATTAGAATTTCTCACAAGAAAGACAACTAGAGTCCAGCGAAGAACAAACTTTTTCCTTTCTTTTCTCTCTCTCTCTTTTTTTCTTCTGATGGAGTCTCATTCTATTGTCCAAGCTGGAGTACAATGGCACAATCTCGACTCACTGCAACCTCTACCTCCCAGGCTGAAGCAATTCTCCCACCTCAGCTTTCTGAGTAGCTGGGACTACAGGAGCCTGCCACCGCACCCAGCTAATATTTTGTATTTTTAGTAGAGACAGGGTTTTGCCATGTTGCCCAGGCAAGTCTTGAAGTCCTTGTGATCTACCCACCTCGGCCTCTCAAAGTGCTGAAATCACAGGTGTGAGCCACCATGCTGAGCCATCAACTTTATTTCTGAGGGTGTTTTGCATGCAGGAAATAAAGGATATTCAGGAATCAAACGGAACAGAGCTGCAGATTATCCCAGAAAGGTACAGTCTAGCCAGAAAGCAGGAAAGGAAATTCATTAAAGGTACTTTGAGCCTGGAGGTGGTAAAACACTTGCTTTCCTAAATTTGGAAGAGTGAAGAGTATTTGTGTCTGATCAAAAATAAAGAGGAAAGCCGAGGCAGGAGGATAGCTTGAAACTAGGCGTTCAAGACTGGCCTGGGCAATATAGCAACATCCTATCTCCAAAACAATTTTTTTTAGGCTTGCTCAGGGGCACACACTTGTAGTCCTAGCTATCTGGAAGGAGGAGGCTGGAGTATCCCTTCAGGCCAGTAAGCAATGATTACACTCTAGCCTGGACAACAGAGAGAGACCCTGCCTTAAAAAACAAACAAACAAACAAACAAAAAACACAAAAAGCAGGGAAAGGGCATGAGAATTATATCTCCATAACAAAAAAAGAAAAAAATGAGGAAGGCCTCATGGCTAGTGAGAAAATATGTGGATAAGAGAGATAAAGAGAGGTGTGAGCAAAAACCATGAGGGTAGGTAGAGGAAAAGGTAGCTACAAAGAATTTTGGAGAAACTGTTTATGTAGCCTAATGCGTAAAACCCTTAAGTCATGCCTTTTAGAAAAACCTAGATTAAATATATTACTCTTCAACGCTTCTGGGATTGGGATATGTTTTGTCTGAAAGAGACTCCAGGCAGAACCTGGACCATGTGGGGGACTCAGGATTTATTCAGGTTACAATTAAGAGGGTGGGTTACATCCAGCTGAGCAACATCAAATCCAACCACATGTGTTCATCACATTTTTTCTGGATTATGATTCACGTTTTGACATGGCTGCAGAAAGGCTGAATTACATTATTCTGTGAAGGAAGTGGACTTACAAAACAGAAACATCTCTCGAGATTTTATTAATTTGTGACAGTTATAATGAATGGGGAACACTATATTTTGTATAGCAACATCTATTATTTTCTTTGCCTTCAGTCACCTTCCAGAAATAAAGTTGGTGCTCTGAGTGGTACCTAAAATAGAACAAGGATGCTATTTACTAAATTAATATTGCATAATTCTCGATGATATAAGCAAGGTACTGAAAGCAACATAATATCCACCAATTAACTTCCAAGGACAAATCTGCATATAGAAATGATCGGCCATCTCTGTGTCTAATAGCATAAGTATGTTTACTGAAATATGTCTCCTGAACATTTTGCATAAACTGCATTTTAACCTTTGGTGCACTGTGGAGCATTAATAACACTGATGCAAGTGGAGGGAGAAGAGGAGTTAATGGAATATTGCAGTGAGTTGATTATGGTTTTTGTTTTTAATAAACTCTACTTCCTTTATTATTAGAAAATTACCAACATGAACTGTAATATTCATCAAAGCATGTTAAGATTTCTAGTAACTAGGTTTTAAAGGCATGAAATCCTCTCAAAGTAATAAAGAATATGCAGGGGGAAAATAGGTTGTGACCAAGTCCGGTGTGCCACGGAATGTAGAACTAGATGCAAGAATTCAGCTTAAAAAAATGCATCTAGCCTGATTAAAAACAAGGATTTAGGTTTATAAGAACAAAAAACATATATTAATGACATTGTCATTAATGACAAACTGCCTTGGGCTATCCAAATTATTAAAAAAGAATGGTTAGGAATTCCCAACCAATGTTGAGATTACATTTCATATTTGTGTAGTTTACATAACAGGCATATTTAACTTATATAAAGCCAACTTTTAATGCTTGAGGGAGGAGAAAGTAATTTAAACAGTGATGGCCATTTCCCCCACCACTCCTCACAGTGAATATGTCCCCCAGATAATCATGAGATGACAGACATACATCTACAGTTTCTTCTTTGAGGCTCTCAGTGTTGTCATCATCAGGCCACACTGGCTGTGATTCCAAGCTTTAAAAATACATGCATGTCACATGCTGAGCCCATAAATGGCAGCTAGCTACTTAATCTGTGTGTTAGTTACACACACATATACATTTTCTGTGTTTTATTATTTTTGAGACAACTTTAAAACCTTTCTGGCTGAGGAGAGATTGCTCCTTCTGGGACTAGCCAATTCTCAGAGATAACAAGTCAGGAGCATGCTTTTGATATGCAAGCTAATCAATCCAGAGCCAGCTCTCCCCTATCTGGCCCATATAACCCAGGAGGCAATATCCTTCTGCCATGGTCATCCCAGTGCTAGGTATCATCCCTATAGTTTACAGCCCACTGAAGTTATTCAAGCTGGCCAACTCTAAACTGTTTTCATCCTGCCATGCTTTGCCTTTCCCAAGGAAACCCCAATAAAAGCTCTGGCCTAAATGTTGCCCTTGTTCCTGTTTTATGCCTCCTGACAACCCTGGTGTCTTTCCCTTGTGGCCCTATGTGGTGTGCTGTGCCTCCTATATGTAGGACTCATAAGTACAATGAATGTTGTTTTCCTGAGCCTCTCCTATGTCTTCTCCCAGGGATACTCCTGATTGACCATCACATCACATAAAAGAACACAAAACAATCTGAAAGTCAACCAAGGAAACAGTAATCAAGAATAATTCTGAGTAGATGCAATTTCTACTTTATGCATGACTGTAAACCTTCACTTCATTGAACTAGACCAGGTAAGACTTTATCTCCACATGGTTCCTTCAGCTCTGACAATAACACCGGAACCTGTGCTGTTGCAGTGACCTTAAGGCTAAGTTCTAAATCACCCTTCTTTCTGGGTAGCCCCTCCAATATGTCAATTCTCCTTATGCCAAGCTGATGAAATAAAGATGCATATTTGGGGTTTGGTCAGCACTTATGGCAGCGAGTACCTCAGAAAGAGGTGCTCTGTCTCTTGGCCTTGGTTCAGGGGACCTTCTTCCTTTTGGACCCTCCCAGGTAGAACTGTGTCCCCTTCCTCTACCACTGTGCCAGTATAGTCCACTAGAAATCCTCCTCTACATGTCTGTCTCCTTCTGGGGTTGGGGAGAAATGGTCTGGCACCTTGAAGGTGTTTCCTGAATGAATGAAAGATGACTGCCTCCCAGCAACAGAGAACAGAGGAATCCCTCATTCTCAAAATCTGCAGTTTAGTTGGCCAGCTGTATAAATGATCAGTTCACTCTGTGTACACACAACATATAAGAGCTTCAAATTTTTTAAATGCCAATTCAGTCTACATTAACCTGTTGTAAGGCAAACACTGGCATATGAAACCACCTTCGTTACTCCTTCTATAAACTCCTGTATATGGAGTTGTTTCCCGGACCTTCGACTTCTGCTGAATCTTAAGACCATCTGACTGTTCTTCTCCATGATGATGGACTCTCTTCAGCGTTTCAGTTTTCTTTTTAGTATTAAACAGTATATCTCTTGATAATATTTTAAACAGAGAAACAGGTGTCTAAACAAGATAGAAAGTCTTTGACAAAAAGGAAGCATCCAATCTATGTTTCTTCAGGCCTATGCTAGGGACCCTTGCTCTGATTCAATGTGCCCATGAGCTCTTTCAGAAGGCTGGGCAGTGAGGAATACCCAGGCAGGTGCCTGCCATGAGAACCTGCATGTGATCACCGCGCAACTTGGATGAGACCAACACCATGGTGAACTTATGTCTACAGAGATAGCCCTACAGACTGGCATCAGATGTGCTGTAGATTTGCCATCCCTAGTCTAGGAACATGACTTTTGACTCACAGGGAACTGGTTTCCATGTTGCTCGTTGGGCTTTTAAACCAGTGAATAGAAAGAATAAAAAGTTTTCTCCATACAACTTCTCAGAAGAGATCTGCCCTGTGATCTGCAATGCACTGATTTTCAAACTTGTAACTCAATCATCTGTGGAGACTGCTCAACTGATTCCAAGTGGAAGTACTAAGACTGTCATTTCAGGTCAGCTGCTTCTTAAGCACCAGCTACTTCAGGCCCTAAGAGCCTCATCTTCCTATATATGCCCACATTATTTTGCACATGTTCTTACTAGCACAAACTATTAGCATTATTCATTAACCTAAAAAAATTATTACATTAAGTATTTACACGAATCAACACTATTATCCTTTTTTTAAAAAAATAACAAAGTGGCCGGGTGCAGTGGCTCATGCCTGTAATCCCAGCACTTTGGGAGGCCAAGGCAGGTGGATCATGAGGTCAAGAGATCAAGACCATTTTGGCTAACAGAGTAAAACCCTGTCTCTACTAAAAATACAAAAAATTAGCCAGATGTGGTGGCAAGTGCCTATAGTCCCAGCTACTCAGGAGGCTGAAGCAGAAGAATCACTTGAACCTGGAAGGCAGACTTTGCAGTGAGTGAGCTGAGATCATGCCACTGTACTCTAGCCTGGGAGATAGAGAATGTCTCAAAAAAAAAAAAAGGTACTTTTTAATACACTAATTTATCATCACTGAGCGCAAGTGGTTGTTTCTACTTCAGAATGGTAACACTGAGTTACTGCCAAATGAAAAATAATAGTAACATACCTTTTCCAGCAAGCTATAAAATTGCAACCAGGTGGTTCTCACAATCAAGATCTTACAAACACAGTGATGTGATATATGGTAACTACCCAAACTATAAAGCCAGACAACTTTGTTGGATGAGTGCTTCAGCTATCTACTGCTGCATAACAAATGACCCCAAAACTCAGCTAGATAAAACCACTAGCATTCACTATTCTCATGGATTCTTGGCTCAAGAATTCAGAAATGGCACAGTGGAGACAGCTATTCTCTGCTCCATGACATCTGTGGTCTTGGCTGGGATCACCTGATGAATTGGGGGCTGGAACACGGGGGCTGTAGAATCCACTCCCAAGAGGGCTTCTTTGTGTATATGCCCAGTACAAAGCTAGGAAGGATAAGGGATAGATTCAACCAAGACTGTCATTCACAGCACTTACAAGAAGGCTTTATGGCATGTAGCTGGACTTCTTACGTGGTGGCTCTAGTCTCTAAATCCAGGTGTTTCCAATGAACGAGGCAGGAGTATGGCTTTTTATGTCTTAGCTTGGAAGTTACACAGGATCCTTTCTGCTGTACTCCATTGGTCAAAGCAGTCACCACCTCTCCCCCATCAGATTCAAGGGGAAGGGCCACAGACCTACCTCTCATTGTGAGGAGAGTAAACGTATTTACATTCAGGTTTTAAAATACCTACAGTATATTTTCAGCCTCTTCTTGTCTGGTACACCAACATTTTGAACTTGAAATTTTTATTGATAAGCCTGTGTGCTTCCAGAATATGAACCATTAAGTGTCTGCCATTATATTTCCAGATAATCAGTTTCTGAGTTGTGAGAGGCCACAGTCCCAGGGCAATATAAGGCCTATATGGGTGTTAGGTAAATATTAATTTGGAATAACTACAAAGGATACAACTGGTGGAAAATCTGTTGTCTAGCTTAGGCTTTTTAGTTTTTTCCTTTGGTGATTTTTCCCATCTCCATTAAGGCTACATAGTAATCAGATGCCTGAGGTTAAACTAAAGCATTTAAGGAGCTAGGAACCTTAGGGAGAAATGATTTAAATTTACAGAGCTAACCATTAGGCTTGAGGTAGTAAACTCCAACTCCTACCAGAGCAAGGCTGACAGAGGAGTTCAAGATGGCTGGGTTAGCCAGTGGAAGTACTGGGAACTAAAGTTCACTGGAAGCATATGCTTTTGCCTTAAGGTATGTAAATTCCATTAAAAAAAAAAAAAAAAAAACCACTTCATTTTCCAAAACTGGCCTTTGAACCATAGCTTATGGTCCTTAATTTAGATTAGGTGGTGGGTATTTCCAAGATTTATGGTTTTTTGCCCTGGTTTTCTGTTTTCCACTCCTCTGTGAGACTGGAAAATAAACATTCAATATATAATTCTATAGCTAATAACAAACATTTAACAAGAATTTACCACGTCCAGGCGTTGAGCTAAGTATTTTATTTAATGATCAGTAGTCTTTTGGGGTGGTTGGGCCCATTTTACAAATAAGGAAACTGGACTTCAGGAAGGTTAAATTAACCTGACAAACATCCTAAAGCTAGTAAGTAGCAGAGATTAGGTTCATACTGAGGTATGTTTGCCTCCAACACCTATGCTGTTAACCACTGCATGTTAGAATACGGTATTTTGGATGAATGTGGTTCCCCTAAGGTGAGTGGCCAACAAACAGGGGGCCTATCTTTGCTGACAGTTCTTTGGGTGTAATCCACCCAGCTACTCTAATTTTGGGATAGAAATGGAGTTTACCTGCATCAGTGAATATATAGGGATAGTACCTTTTACCTAGGAATCCTGTTCTGGAAGTCTAAGACTACATAAGAAACAGAGTTCACAGTACTTCTGACCTCTGACAAAGTTTCTCTGGATATGTGAAAAAAAAAACTCGGGTCTCAATCTTCTAGAAGATGGACAGTGCTTTGCCATTGATCACCTGACATAAAACCGTCCATCAGCAAGGTGCTATTCACATATTTATCAGAGAAAGCACAAGTTATGGACTGCGTAAGTCAGGCATTTCTGTACTCAGCAACCTCTCCTGGTAGACCACTGCAGATTCTCCCCTTAGTAAATCTATTTTGCAAAAGCTCCCTTTAAAAATCCTCCTCTATTTCCTTGAAGAGAAAATTCAAATAGAGTTCTCATACATCAAACATATGACAGAGGCAGTTTTTAATCATTTAAATTATTTATCCTTTATTGTTTAATGCTTTATATCATTCCTCCATGCATAATTTATTGTGCCATTTATGTTTATTAAAAATTGATAGTGGAGACATGCTCTCTCTCCATTCTCTGAGGCTACAGATATTTCTCTGTCAAATCATTTGGGAATAGACAACAAAGTATTCTACTGAATTCCTTTTTCATTCACCTTAACTGTTTGTATGTCTCCTTCTTTCCCTAGGAGTCCTTTTCTTCCACAAAAATCGAGTTTATCTTTGTGTGTTAACTGTTCAGTTTCTTTTCTATATAAGGAGAAAGTTTATCTGAAGGCCCCCATTTCTATTCATTAAAGCTTTCAGAAAAAAGGGCTTATTTCACTTTTTAAAATTTTGAACACAAATGTAAAAAGGAGGGACAAAAAACAAGATTCTAGAGTCTTCTGTGATACAGGCCATAGCTTGTGGAATCAACTCTTTCTCTTTGTCTTTTATATTTTATTCCTCCTCAGATGATTCATGCTTTCCTTGCCCTTATAAGTCTGCAGTCAGTTCTTAATTCTCTTCTAACTAGCTAGGTTTCTTTCCCTTCTCCATCTTCCAGTTGCTCCCAAATCCTCTTACCTTTGCACTTCTCAACCCTGTGTCCTGAGCTGTTCTCTGTAACCCAAAACCCCAATCCTGAACTGTGCATCACCAGGGTATCTGACCCACTGCCACAGACCTGGCCATTCTACCCTTCTCTTCCAGAGGACAGAAGAGAAGCAAAAAGGAGCAAAGTGTGTGAGAGAAGCATGGAAGCTAAGCAGAGCTAAGTATCTAAACGGCTCACAACATATTAGTCCTGAAAAAGGTTTGCAGTGGACCACTGAATTCAAAGGCATCTAACTTGGTACATCCATGCTGGCTTAGTATTTCAGTCCATTTCCAGAGGTCCAACCCTGTCCCACTTCCAGGGTTCCCTATTGCAGGATGAGACCATCACTGGCTGCCCAAGCCAGAAATCTGAGGATCACCCTTGCCCCTTCCCTTGTATTCACCCCCATAGTCCCCAACACTTTGCAAATATACTCCTACTAGTATCTCTGGAATCTATCCCGAGATCCATACTATTGGCCATCCACTTCCCTCCCTTGCCTAGCCTTCTGCAGCATTTTCCTTGGGGTCCCAGGCCCACCTCTCTCCATTCTCGGTCTGCTATAGCTAATATTGTGACTGCTCTGAAAGACAGACCTGCTTAAAATCCTCTTCCCATCATGACTGGGATCAAGTCCAATGTTCTTAACATGGCTTACCCAGCTCATAAACATGTGATGAGGCCCCTGCTTAATTCTCATTAATTCTCATGCCTTTTATTTGGCAAACCCTAGGTGTGACAGCTCCTCTCCTGACAGCTCTACTTTCTACCTCTACTCTCTACCAACACAAAACTTCTTTCAGTTCCATGAACAGGCCATGCTTTTCTTGTCTCTTGGCCTAGGAGCATGCTGTTCTTCTGCCAGCAACTTTCTTCACCCATCGCCACAGGATGGCTCCTCTACCTTTCCATGAAAAGTCCAGGCCTGGGTTACGTACCCTTCCCAAAGTGCACCCGAGACACCGAACAGTTCTTCCAGTCCAGACTCACGACACTGTGTGGTAACATCCTCATCGCTCAGTTGTGCTCCCGACAGACTATAAGCTCCAGGAGGGCAGAGGCCACACTTTACTTGTTCACTACTATATACTCAGTACCTGGGAAATATTAGTTGATGGAAGAATGACTGTGGTAATCTGTTCCATTGGTGGCTTCCAATTAACCATGTCTTCTGGCATTTACATCTTGTGTGGTCCCTTCCATTAAATTTGGGTTTTAACCAACAGAATGCTGCAGGAGTGACACCCTGCCACTTGTGCTTTTGTGATCCTAGCCACCAGTAAGAAGCCCTGTGACCTTGCTGAGACCCTGAAGAGACCACATGGAGGGGCCACTTGAAGGCAAGGGGTCCTGACTCTACAATGGAAAGAGAAGCCCAGTCATCCCTGTTTCCCAGCTGAGTCTTGACCAGATAACTTGCCACAAGACTGACTACAGGCGAGAATAGCAGAAGAGCTGCCCAGCTGAGCCCATCCTAGATTATAGAATTTCAAGCAAGTAAAATGACTCATGTTGTAAGCCACTAAAATTCTAGGGGGGTTCTTACATAGCAATATGTAACTGTGATAAACTAAATATATGAATAAAAGGGAATAAAGAATTACTTCACAGAATAAGTTTCATGCAAAGACACATCAATGTCTCTAAGAAACATTTCTAAGAAATAGCAGATTCAAGAAAATAGCAAAAGAACTAAAAGGAAATAGAGGAACTCATACCACCAGCTTTCATTTACATTACATCACATTTTTCCTCTGTCATTTTCTTTGGTTTTAAGACATTATCCAATGAAAATATATTCCTACTCTTTTGTGACAAAGAGATTCCAGGTTTGACATTAAAGTCGAGAATTCCAACAAAGGAGGGGATGTGAACATTAATACACAAATGGAAACTGCTTAGAATCCCATGGCCAACCTATCCCTGCTGTTCCATTTCCTTTTACTTGCCAACAGAGCAGACCTACAGCTGTGGATGAGGGGGGAACTGGAACACTGTTACTGGGCACCAAATGTTCAGTTCAGTGTGAAAAATCCATCACCATCTAAAGATGAGAATGGCTAATTTTTACACAGACAGTTAATGACTTGTTAGTGAACTAGTAAAAATAGACAGCTACTCAGTGCCTTTAACCCAGATATTCAATTAGTTACACTAAATATATATATGCATATACACTCCCTAGAGATAGCTGATACACAGTTACATAATCTAGAATATTTTCTGGATAGATTATATTTTGAATCCTAAATATTAGCTATCAACATTAGCATGCACATCTCAGAATGAGGAGAAACGCTGTTAAATTGATACTGGCTTGATGGAAACTTGGACTGCTCCTTCTAATAACTGCTTTTCTTTCAGCAAGAAAAAATCGTTATGTAAGAACTATGGCCTAAGCAAAGTATCTGTCTTTTGTAAAAACAAAAACAAAAACAAAAAAAAACCAAAAACCATAAAACAAAATGCCAAGAATATTTTTTAACAGATTATGCTGGACTAATAATGCTTTGAAATTTCTGAATGATGTTTAGTAGGTAAAATTATCAATGTATTTTTAGATTGATAAATTTTAATTAATAAATTTTATGTGTTGGATATTTAAAGTAGAGAAGTGAATTCAGGGACAAGCCAGGAGCTTGAATGCTGCATGCTTGGGAAGGGAAGAATCAGTTCCCAGGGTTTTCAAAGCTTCAGACACTAAGTGAGAGAAAAAGGGCCCACAGCATAAACAATGTCCTGTCCACTAGTGAAACTGAACATGAATCCTATTAAACATGGCTGAGAGCAAAAGTTAGACTTAAAAAATGAGAAATAGCTCCTATTTTTTTTCCTCCCTAGATGTGTTGGGTCTGCTGGGGAAACAGTTCCACCCTGTCTGCTCACTGCTTGAGGCACAGTGTGTCAAGCAGGGAGGGTGTGGTGTTCCTGGTGAGGGCAGCAGGCTGGCTGAGCAATCGGAAAAAGGGACCTAGTTCATGACTGTCAGGGGTGGGTGGGGAAAACCATTCCCAGTGCACCTATGGCAGTTCAGTGGTTGACAGAAGTGTATGAGGGTGGACTGGATCAGACTGTCTGCCTTGAATCTTGGCTCAACCATGTTCTAGCTGTGGACTGGAGTTGCTTACTCACTCTGTGTCTCAGTTTCCTCCACTCTAAAAGAAGGTTACCAGCAGTGCCAAGCAGTGCCACTTTCATAGCATCGTCAAAAGGACTGAGTGCAATACACATAAAGCCTGGGACAGAACAAGTGTGTGATATATACTGTTATTACAATCAGGCAACAACCAATGACACCTAGGGCTGGGGCTGGAAAACACCTGACAGAGGCTGGAACTGAAGTCAAGAGGGACAAGGGGCCTGTCCAAAGCCTCACAGTCTAGAAGGCATCTCACTCTCTTCCCTGCCTGGCACTGCAGTCCAGCTCACAGCAGACTGATTCATTCATCCTTTGAATCCCAAGGCATAACTGATCAGTTGGTGCTGGGGTTGCAGAAGTGACCTGAACTAGGACAGCTGCAGCAGGCAGGCCAGCGTTTGGCAGGCAGAACCACCTGAGGGGCAGCCTGACCCAGCAGGCCGGTGTGAGTTAGGGTAGGAGGCCATGAGCTCGGAGCTGGGCGGAGATGGGACTGAGGCAAGGGTAGTTTTATGAAAACATAAATCATATTCTATCACCCCACTGGCAAAAAGCCTATTATATTAAGATCCTCAGAGGCCTCAGGGAGCACCTGCCCTTGCCTACATCTCTGGCGGGGCCCCCACCTCTCTCCCCACAGCCACAATCCCCCTCTGTCTTTTCTGGGACTTGTCCAGCATGCTCTCCTCAGGGCCTCTGCACTGGGCCTGCCCTTGGCCTGACGCACACTTTGCCAGGTATCATGCATCTGTCTCCTTGTCATTCGCATCTCAGCTCTGGAAGCACTGCCCTCTCTTAACCACCATGTCTCAAGCGTATTCCCATCATTCTTCATCCCATCAGGCTGTCTGCTTTTTTCACAGCCCTCATCGCTATCTTAATTTATCTGCACAAGCATCTGTTTGTTTCCTGTGTGTTTCTCCCTTCCAGAACAGAAACTCCACTGAGACAAGGACCTTGCCTTAAGCAAGCCTCAACAGTGAGCACTTAATAAATGTTTGTTGAAAGAACAGATGAAGCAAAAACAGGTTGCAGAGGAGTGCGGACGAGCAAGGGTAACCACCTAGGAGAGCTGGGTTCAACTCCATGGTTCAGTGGGTGTGCGGTGTCTGGGTGGGTGCGGCTGCCTTAAAGATCAGAGGCGGGACATGGTGCTTATCCTGAAGCGGAGGAAAATCTCTGAAAGAAAAGAACAGATGAAGTGACTCTTCCTTCATCCTCCTGGGACAGCACAGGACTGTATTTCCACGGCTGCAGAGCACCTCCCCTTGCCCCAAGTTGATAGAGTCATCCCTCCAAACACATGTGGGGTTGGTTCCAGGATATCAAAATCCTTGGATGTTCAAGTCCCTTATAGAGAATGGTACAGTATTTGCATAAAGCCTACACATATCCTTCGGTATATTTTAAATCATCACTAGATTACTTGTAATACTTAATGTAAATGCTATGTGAATGGTTGTTATACTGTACTGTTCGGGGAATAAGGACTAAACAATGTCCGTACATGTTCAATACAGGCAATGATCATAGGCTTAACAACACTTTCTATCCTCCCCTGGTTGGATCTGCGGATGTAGTACAGGGTCAACTTTCCCCCACACATCAGTGAGGCCTGGATTCATAACTCTTTCCCTGGATTGGTGGTCTACACTGTTAGCCTCTAGAGGATATGGGTCAGCTGGACCTTTGATCAGTCCTGAAGGGAATCTAGCAGAGGCCTAGTCCTAGTCCTATAAACGGTTTAGTTTACTATGTACAGAATTATAACTATGTGCAACCAAGCAGAGCTAATCTGAGCGCCCTGAAATAAGGTGGCCAGACACACGGGGTTCCAATAAGTGTTTCTATCTTCATGTCATGTTTGATTTCCAGCCCGTCAGGGCAGCAACCCCAGATGAGTCAAACCAGAGTCATAAACATGCTTTCTCCAAAGGGAATGAGAGGGCTGCTTGGACCAGAAGCCTCTGCACAGGAGACCCAGAAGCAAAACAAATAAAGAATGTGGTCCCTGCTAAGACTCTTTTGGCATTCACCAGCCTACTGTCTTGATTTTGAAAGATTTTTCTAGAAAGTATTCGGAATATGAGAACACGAATGCAACACCTTTAACAAGTGTTGGTAAAACATTTATAGATTCCTAATTACTTAGATTTCATTTCTAGGAAAAATACCTCCGCTTTACAAAATTAATGTTTAAATTTTAACATCAGTGGGAGATTAGGCATAGAGAAGTTAGAGACAGACTGAAAGGGGAACAAAAATCATTTCTTTATGAACATGCCCTTTTCAATAATTTCCTTCTCCAAGAATTAAGGTCAGGAGTGAAGAGAGGGTGGGAGAAAACAAGGTCTAGGGAACCTTCTGTGGAGATTGGGGCCACAGTTGAGGCTTTGTGAGCAAGGTCGTGCTCTAGAAAAAGTCACTTTCCTGACCTGAATTTAGGAGTAAATGCCCTGTGCCTCCAGTTTACAAGTTACCAGATAACTGCGACCCAAACCTCCAGGGGTTACAGAGGAGAAACACAGGTAAAGGTTTCACTAGGCAGAGAAGAAACCAATACAACATTTTCCCTTCAAAGCTCTTGGCTGATGTTTCAGCCAGCCATTAACAGTCTTGATTTTAACAGACCAGAGAGAAAAATTACAATAAATGTGGGAACATTATGGTCCCCTCCACACCCCCAGCTCCCCCCCGCCCCCCGCCGTCTCCTCCCTCACCCCACCTCTCCGCCACAGTTTCCACAGGCTTGAAGCTTCCTGGGGAAAAGGACAAAGTGGCCTTTGGCCTCAGGAGAGAAGCACTTCACTTTATCAGGATTTTTCTGTGAAGTTCCCCAAACCCACTGACACGCCCTTGCCATAGCATGGAAAAGCAAATTGCATAAGGGATTCCAGATATGAAAGTCACCATGGGAGGAATACAGAGGAACACGCATGCAGATTTTTTCTCTTTTTCCATTTACCACTACCAAGCTCTTCTATTTTGGGTGAGCTCAGCAGCACAAGTGCCTTGGATAATCTAGAAATTGCTTCCATATGTGGGCACAGGAAAGAATGTACGCACTAGCTGCCTGAGAAGGAAGCTCTGGGCAGCCTCTTTTTCCTGCCAGAAAATGCTGCTCAGGCCTGACAGCCACAAGGCATCTGAGCCAAAGGATATCAGAGGAAGCGGCTCTAACTTCCCCAATACATGGATGAGGAAACCGAGGCCCAAGGTCTCACAGCAGTGACAGAACTGGCAGCAGAACCTGGAGCTCTCTGGCTCCATCCCAAGTCAGGTACTGTCTTTCCCTCTCCTCCCAGCAAATTCCTGCTTCCCTCTCCAACCAGAACACCCTTCTCTCTGCGCCCCACCCTCTCTCTCTCTCTCTCTCTCTCTCTC